CCCTGTTGCATGTCCACAAGTGTGAAGTGTGTATTTCAGCCTGTGTGTGTGTGTGTGTGTGTGTCTGTGAGAATAAAAAAGAGTGAAAAGGGGGATCAATAAAGTATATATCTATAGGCGTTTATACATATATACGCTTATATACTGTATATACCTATGTATATACATTTCTATTAATAAGGATCTGATTCATTTGGACTCTCCACCAGGCAACTATAAATCCAGTATTAACTCACTTTTTAGCTCTGTTTTAGCCTCGACCAACTGGCACGTCAATGGTTAACAGTGCTCCACAGTGTTCACCAGAGAGCTAACATAGTGGGACAACATATGAGCTAAAAGACCACAAATCTGAGGGGAACTGATCCTCTCACATTGTCTTTTGATGTTTTATTAATAGAAATATTCCTAAAAACAGGTTTAAATTGTATTTATTTTTAGGAATAGAAGGCACATATTTTCATGACTGTTTCACTTCATAATTTTAGGTTTTAGTTCACAGCTAAACCAAATTATAATATATTGTAAACTGTAAATTTTATTCAATTCAAAATACTTTATTCGTCCATCACAGCACACAAGCAATTCATTCACACACACATGAAAACAATCTAAAACTACAAAATATCTGAGTATATCAGAATCAGAGTCAAGTTTATTGCAAAGTAAGTTTTCAAATATGAGGAATTTGATATATTGGCACATAAGAATCACAATCAAGTGTAGAAAAATATAAATAAAGATAAGATAAAAAAAAATAGAGACAATACAGATTTTTTAAAAAGTTGAAAGACACTGGAATGAATATTATTAGCCAATCAAAAGCTGGTTCGGTTTTATCATCATGATAAATAAATCATTGATACATGTTTATGCAGCCTATACACAGCCGAAGTTAAATGTGCCATGACGTATCATTTTGTCAATGTCACCCAGCTCTACAATCATGTTCTGTACTATGAAATACTCATTGATGATAAAGGTTTCCTTTTGATTTTAGATCACTTCCATTGACTTAGACCTTGAGTGGTTGAGACCACCTGTACGAAAATCTTCCGCCATTGCCTCCTCTATCCTTGATGTCACAGAGCGCTTCAGGGTTTGTTTGAAGTCATTTCCAATAAACACATAGAGAACTGGAGATAAGAAGCTGTTTGCCGCAGCCAGGGTGGCCCCCACTTTCAGGCCAGTTTTAAGCACTTCCAGGCTGTGGTTACTAAAGTCTAACTCTAAAAGAACAAAGCTATGATAGGGGACCCAGCAGAAGAAAAATGACAAGATGAGCGCCACCATGACTTTGTAAGGCTTTTTTGATTTGATGGTCAAATTTCTCATTTTCACAACAATCACAGAGCAGCAGAAGACAATCATTAGGAAAGGAATCAGGAACCCGAAGATGAAGCGAGTCAGTACCACAACCTTGTGTCTGGAATGGGTCGAGTAATCCGTGTAGCACTGAGTGACTGAGCCATGGACTGTGATTTCTCTGAAGATCAGCGAGGGCAGCGTTAGGATTGCAGAAAGAAACCACATGAGAACAACGACCCCAAAGGCTTTCCGCACTGTCCGGTGGTTATGTGACCACACGGGAAAGGAAATCATTATACAACGATCAGTGCTGATCAAAACCAACAGAAACACACTGCTGTACATGTTGAGAAACAGGGCGGAGGAGGTGAGCTTGCATAACACCAGTCCGAAAGGCCAGTGCGAGGTTATCATGTAGAATACTTCCAGGGGCAAAAAGACACAGAACAAAAGGTCTGAAATGGCCAAACTGATGTACCAGGTGGTGATGACCGTTCTTTTCATTTTCCATCCACAGATCCAGATCACTAATGAATTTCCTCCAAGGCCAATAAGGGAAATAAAGATATTGACTGCCACCAGAACATGAGTCAAAGGAGTCCGAGAAGTACTGAGATTCAGTAGTCCAGCTGTGGTTGAGTTGTTTTCAGTTCCATTGTCTGGAGTGTAATCGTCATATTCAACGTAATCCACTTCCATTGCTGGTTACTTTTCCTGAAATATGGAGCACAAGTGTCTTTCTTTTTAAACATATACACATATTTAAATATAACAGATCACAATTTTATTTATTTTTTACATAAAATATGCCTAAGTACTCACGTTATGTGTCGATGTGGAGGCTACTACTTCAAAGTGCCTTCTTTCTGACTCCCTTGCGACCAGTTTCAACTTCTCATTTCTGTTTCCTGGGCAGTGTTACTGACGAAAGAGACAAAACACCAGAATGGATGTCATGGAACAGCTGAGACAGTCTGCCTACCTCTCATTTACCAAAAACATATATTGTGTGATTTTGTCTTTGTGGGTGAAAGTATTTTTAAGAGCGTTCACTTAGGTTAAAATAAATTGAAAAAATAATGTTTTTCTGACATTGTTAGATAGATATTATATATATATATAAGTCTTACAACAGCCTATAAGAAAGTGTTGCAATCTGACAAAGGAGATCCCCTTCACACAAAGACACAAAACCAGAAGGTCACATTTCTTACTAAAGACCATTTTGCCAGAATTGCAGTGTTTGTTAGTCACTCATAGGGAGTCATCAATCAATTAGTTTATTTATAGACTATAAGGCTGTAGTAAAAAGATAAAATGTCAAACATTAAACTTTTGGGTTATTTTAATTACTTAATTACCAGAAGGACATTACAGATCTGTTAATATATCACACATTATCAAAACTTCTCTTCATCTTGTGTAACATGACTTTTGGTAGAATTACCAACTTCCCAATTATATTATCTTTAAGAAAAAATAACCACCAAATGTTTTAAAACCAAATTTATTTCATGAAGTTAAACAATTCATATCTGTCCATTGGAATTCACCTTAGAAAGGATATAAGCGAAGGCTGTAGATATACATGTTTACACACTACGACTGTACCTCTTTTATCTTGAATCAACAGTCCTGAAATCATATATTCTTCTAGTGCAACAAATGGAAGGGCATTTTTTCTCACACTTCTTTGTAACTGTGAAACTATATTCAGATGTGTTAAGTACTGTTAGCTTCTGATATACTGTACTGTAGTGTGACATATTTTCACTAAGATTTTAATTACCATCATATAATAAGCTGTGAAACAGTGGTACGGTCTATTAAGGTTTTCAGTCATTCAGGTAAAGGGATTTGTACAAGCAACTCTATTTTCAGTGTATATGGTGAACAGTGGAATATATTTCTTTCAGTAGAACCAGAATTCCTACCAGTGCCTGCGACAAGTGACATAAATACATATAACAGGAGTCAGATTCTTCTAATTTATTTAGGAATTGAATTTTTCAACTCACATTTGACATTGAAGGTGTTGTTGTTAGTGCAGTTCCCTAAAAATCATATGATGCCGTTGTGTAACAGAAAAAAAGCTGAGTAAATTATTTTTAAAGAATAATCACAAGACAACTAACCAACACAGCTAACTTGAACTACTTATTTATTTATCATTGGGGTGCCTACAGTGGGGAAAAGTGAGTGCATTGACCAAGTAATGTACTGCAATGATTAAGTACTTATTCTTCACCTAAATATTTATATATGTAATATTATATTAAATTATATATACTAAATATTTTTTTCTGTTAGCTACAGTTACTGTTGTTCTTATTATTTTAGGTAACACTTAAGGTCAAATGTTCCCTCTGAATGACTACTATTAAAAAGATGTTTACCCTCCACCACCTGGACATGCGCAGATGTGATGAGATTAGCTCCTCCCCCTGGCAGTGACGTGTGGGGCTGTGCTTCAGGTTGCTCTTCGCTTTTGAAACTGCGCCATTCTTATGTCTGTCAACATGGCGGGTACAGTGGCAAACAAGTGTCTGAATCCTCTGGGTTTCATCACCAGGAGGCTCTCTGCTCCGGAGTTCATCACCCAGTGCTGCTACCACAAGAAGGTAAAACACCAAACCGGTTATAGTTTTATTAAAGTCGGCTTGCTGTTTGCCTAATGTTTACAGTTATCAGCCACCTTTAGCCCTGTGTAGCTTTATGTAATAAGAGTATAACGAGGAGGTGGATGTGGTTGCATGGCTCAGCTAATTATATGGAGCTGGTTAACCACAAGAAGCTACATGAATTTCATATATGAGTTACTTATACCTAGAGGGGGAGTATGACAGGAAGCGGTATATAGGACTAATATGAAACATTAGTTAACATTATTATGTTTTATACTAGCTTGTTACTAAGTTTAAGACTATAAAATAACGTCACTAATCTGTCCCTCAGCTGGTCAAAGCTTTAATACTGGAATCACATCCGATTAATAAGCTTTAAGGGCTGCCAGTAAAGGAGCTCAGTGTGCTAGAAACCTGTAAATGTCCTGTTATACCTGTGGAAGAAATGTATCTGCATGAGGATGCAGCATCTTTTTCAACTATCTAACAGCTTTATTCACATGTTCAGTTTGAGTGTTATTGTATGATGTGAATGTCTGATGCAACATGGAGACACAGGGTTGTGGAGGGTTGAAGATACATGTTTAATTGGTTTAGTGAGTAGATGATTTACACCCCCTGGATGTTTGAATGGCTTAAAACGTAATGTAGATTTTATTGAAGCTTTTTGAGGCTTTTTCTGGGCTGTGACGCACTGTGCTCACGGGCTAATAACTGGTGAGCATCCTGTTGTTTATCTGCCTTATTTAATTTGAAATCACATTTTGTGAATTAAATGTAGTCATTTTTAGGTAAAAGCTCAGTCACTTCATATTGTTTCGGTCACAGTGACTCAGCAATTTGGAGGGAGGAGGAGGATGGGGGCAGGATGCTGGAGCCGGTATAGCTGACAATGAAATCCGGTCCTAATCTGTTTATTTCAATGTCCCTTACGTCATGGTGAAAACTTGTAGTTGTATAACAGTCGTGCTCAAGATTTCTTCTAGACGTTTTTATGGTCATAAGAGAAGGAAAAAATCCACCCAGGATGCTACTGTTGTCTTACTTCGCCACATTTAATTCAGTATTGTGGAGTAATCTAATCAGTGTCCCAAAACCCACTTGTTGCACATTGTCTTTTGTCCTAACACAGTGCTTCCTTTCTTTCCTGTCTGAAGGTGGTGGATCATTATGAGAACCCAAGAAATGTGGGCACGTTGGACAAACAGTCCAAGAATGTTGGGACCGGCTTGGTGGGCGCTCCAGCCTGTGGAGATGTAATGAAGCTGCAGGTATGTTTGTCACTGATCACAGATGGATTACAACCTTTTGTACAGCCATTAAGCCTGATATATATATATATATGAACAAAGTTAAAGTACTTGGAAGAGCCACACACACAGAGCACTGATGAATAACATTCTTGTTTTACTAAGTAGATAGCACAAAGTCTTAAATATAGTTTAGTATTAGTATAAAGCATTTATTTTCAGGGAAAACACGATGTGCAGTTCACTTGAACGGTTGCAGGAATATTTATTTGAATCCACTGTTTGAAAAAGAAATGGCAACATGCAGTTTTTCCAACTTCTAAAATGGAGTCTATTCCCCCTTTGGCATTTGAGTAAAGCTCTAAATTTCTCATTTTGACAGATTGAGGTGGATGACCAGGGGAAGATCGTGGATGCCAGGTTCAAAACTTTTGGCTGCGGCTCTGCTATTGCCTCCAGCTCTTTGGCCACCGAGTGGGTGAAGGGAAAATCTGTGAGTGAACACACTACAGACCTGACACATGTTTCTCTGCCTCTTGCTTATTCTGCTCTGCTCGTGTCTTATCATTGACTGGAAGGGTTTTTGTGGATACTGGAGCTGTGTGCTTTTCTTTCCAGGTGGACGAAGCTTTGATGATAAAGAACACTGACATTGCCAAAGAGCTCTGTCTTCCACCAGTTAAACTTCACTGCTCTAGTAAGTTTTCATTACATTTTTTTCTAATGATGTTACGGACTGCTCCACACATGCATGTATTTAACCTCTGTTTGTTTCTCCTTTAGTGCTTGCAGAGGACGCTATCAAGGCTGCCCTGGCTGACTATCGCCTCAAGCAACAGGATGACCAGCAGGAGGCAGTAAGGGCCAGCAATTAAACAGAGCACTCGCTCTCTGAGCTGGGCGCCACTCGCTTCCTGCTGCCAAGAAGAGAAGTAGCAGTGGTCCAGCATGACCACCTCACTTTCCTGCAGTATTGATGAGTCACACCTTATAACGTTGACGATATGTACACCATCGTCAACCCTACGTAGCTGTGTTACACCAGGCTTTCTGTCCTTTAACCCTGTATACTGTACCTTTTAGCCTGTCACATAAACGCACAATGTAAGCACTGTTTGGGTTGTTGGTACAAAAGCTGAGCCTTATTTTTGAGATTGTTATATTTTAAGATTGAGGAGTGTTGATTTTGAATGGTGTGATGGAGATGGTGAATAAAGCTGACAGCTTTTCAGTATCCTATCTGCACTCCCAAGCACTGACCTTTTGATATGCAAAGTGGCTTCAAACAATGAAAGGGTCCACTGATTTTAAGATTAATTTATAAGTATTTAGTAATGCTTCCTTGAGAGTCTGCAATAAAAGTATCTTGAATCATACTGTCTTTTGAGTGCAGTTTATTACTTTGAGCAGCCTGAATATTTCATAAACTGAACTGAACTGAACTGGTTCACCTAAATGAAATGAAACTATAAATGCTATCGATTACACCTGTGCACCTGTTATAATGCTTGCTAAAAAAAAAAAAAAAAAGGTTGCTATCATCTCATTGTTTTCTATACTTGACTAATCTTAAATATTCAAATACTGATCGGTCAAACATTGTCAATACTCACTGTTTTGCACAGAAGTACAAAGTACAAGAACATATCACGCAATGTTTACTGAAGTGGTTCGTATGTGCACACTAAGCAAGATATCCTTGAACGACACAGAAATCCCCCCATAAAAGTACATTGGTTTTGTACCAGATGTTAATGTTCTATGGCATGGATGATATATCCAGTCAGTGTAAAGCAACAGGCTGTTGTACGTATCTTTCCTGCACTGAATATAAACATAAAATATTGCAAAAAAAACAACACATGATTGTCATTTAGTAACTTTTTCCTGCTTTTCCCTTATAGACATTTTTTAAAAAGGTTTACTGGACAAAATGGCACTCATGAATTTAAAGCATAAAAAATATACATTCAGGTCACTGTTCAGAAAAGTTAGAAGGCAGTTTTCTCTCCTGCGATCAGCTGAAGTGTAGCAGAGTCATTGTGAATATGCAGAGAGGAGGGCCGCAGACTCCTACCAGTCAGAGGCTCCCGTGAATCATCTTCCTCTGGATCCTCTGGAGGATTCAGCTCAGGGCTGCCTGCCGATGCAGCTGCTTCACTTTCAGAGAGCTCACACAACTCCTTTTCCTCGGGGAGACTTGGTAGCTGCTGGTCCAGGATGCTGCCATCTGGTTTAGAGCTGTCCTCGGGACTGTGGTCTGCTACTTTCTGACTGGGGCCACATCCCTCTGCAGCATCAACAGATTTATTTGGTGTGCGCAGACTCTTGGCTGCCCTCATAATGTCTGCCTGAAGCTGTTTGTGAGAGTCCACTGTTTCACTTTTCTGCTCAGGAGCAGGTTTTTCTGGCACTTCATTAAAGGGTTTAGCACCTCCGGTTTTGTCCCTGTGGTCCACATACATTTTCGAGGGGAAGGAGGAAGGGTAGTAGGCATTGACTTTGCGTCTGTGGCTCATGAAAATTGCCCCACAGATAATAAGGAACACAAGGAGGATGAACGTGCCTGCAACAAGGATAAGGAGCATGTTCTCCTGCAGAAAGTTCACAACTTGACTTAGAAAGTCAGTTTCCACGTGTGTGGGGCCAACAGGTGTGGTTTGGTACTCAGAGGAAACATTGCTGGTGGGCAGAAAGGAAGTTATGTTACTGAGTTCTTCCTCATCTGTACTTCCCTCTAGAGAACTGTAAAAAGGTAGAGGTGTGGCCGAGCTGCTTCTGATGAAAAACACAACACTCAAACCAATCAGACGAAGGGCCATTGGGAGCATCGTTTCCCCTCAGGATCTGGAAATAACAGTAGACTTGAGTAAATGTCAGTGCCATATGTGAAGACAGTTTGTGCCTCTCATGTATTGCCATTACATCTGAGTCACGGAGCTGGGCATCTGTTTTTCTGAAAAAGAAATACCTGGAGATACATCTGGAAAAACCCTGGAGGTCATTAAACAACACTTTCAGCTGTTCTGGAGAACATTTTCAGTATCTTCCAAGACTCTTCTGAACATCTGGATGACAAAATATTCTGTCCGCTGAAGATTGAACAAGAAACAGATTAAACAGTCTTATTATCAGTTATATTCGTCTATAATGATGTTACTGATGTATTCTTTTATGTTTTTAATATTTAATATGGTCAAAACTGGGAAATGGGTTAAACTTATTTTGTATTTTGCAGCAGACAGAATATATTTTCATCCAGTTGGACTTCCAAGACTCTTCAGAATAGCAAAAAGTGTTGTTAAAGGACCTTCTGGTGTCTGCAAAATGGATGCTTAGCTCTAACTCTAGCTCTAAGTAACTTGGATGTAATGCTAACACGTAGTCGGCCCACTACACAGTTCTGTTGAGAAAAGAAGATCCATTTGGTGAAAACATCCATATAAACGGCATCAAACCTCCAATATTGTGTACTGAAATAAGTCTACTGAAGCCACTTACCCCTTGTGGTATTGGGGTGGCAGCAGAACTCAGAGACGGATATCTAAGAAAAGCAAAATCAAAACTATCTGCATGGCTGGATACCACAGGCGGTATATGGGAAAATATGCTTTTTCCAAATTGGGTGAACCGAACTTTTAAACCCTGCTTTAGTTTGCTCTACTTATTTATTTGGATCACAATCAGCTCTCTGCTCAGTCTGTGTGTCAACTGGCAACAGCTCCCACACTTATCCTTATTCTGCTCCATCTGTGTGCAAGCTGGGCCGCATGAAACTCTGCTCTCATCTGGAAAAGGGGGGTGGGAGGTTTTTCTTTCAGAATTAATCACACACTCACCCCAGACCAAATATACACGGCCGCACATGCCATCACACTCATAAACATATGCACATAAAGCAGTCATATGCAAACAACACACTGAATGAATTGTTACTCAACGGATTTTACATTTTTTTGTTTGACAACAAACCTAGATTCTGTTTTTGGGCCACTTTCACGTCTAAAACTGACGCAAAAGATTGACTCTAACTTTTAATAGTTGTGTCCTTACTTCCTGAGGCTGGATGCTGCTCTGAAAGCATCATGATGCTGTCACATCAGTGACTTCAATTGACATGTGAGCTCACATGATGTCAAGAAACCCCAGTGCTTCTTCAGTGTGCAACATTCAAAGAAAGAAAACATACATTTTAAGGAAAATCTACATGGAATGACTTACCATCTACTGTGGCAGAAGTGTTTTTCCGTTGGAATCCCCTGTGATGGAGGATGAGTGCAACCAGTCTGGAAAAAGTGAACTGAGAGAGAGAGAGAGCACAGAAAAGAGTGGCAAATGCTCGGTGAGCCACGCCACTTCTGCAGTTTCAGATTTCAGGCTGGAGGTTTGTCTGGATAGTGCAAAAAAAAAGAGAGATGTCGTTAACCATGAGGACAAATCCCTCCTTCTGCTTCTCCACTGTTCTCCTCCCCCTTCAGTTTCCCCGAGAGTGTCTGAGCTCTCCAGCCTGCACACAGATTGTTCTTGTTAGGTAGGAGTTTATAATGTGGTGTGGGGGCAGGGACCTCCCCTTCACTCTCCTGTGTGGCTAACTGGATGTGCAAGACCAAGACAACGCTGGCAGGATGGAAAAGAAAGAATACTTTACGACTATAAAAACATCACAAACCAACCCTGAACATCACCATCAACAACTTAAGTTCTCTTTAAAAAATATTTTTCTGTGCTTTCTGCAGAAGGAGCCTCTGATTGACAGCCTGGCCCTTCCTGTAACCTCAGCCTCTGACACTGATGACTAACAGCAGGCCTAAGAGTCAGAGAGCAGCTTGTAAGATTGACCAGCTAATGCAGGAAGAGGTTAATGTTTCCTGTGTGGACAAAACACCCGTAACAGCCAAGACAAGGGGGATTTTTCTCCAGAGGCAAGCAATTAAACTCACACGGTGTGTGTGACTACTTTAGGGAGAGTGTGACTACGTATGAGTGAGCCTACAAATCATTGTGTGTGTGTGTGTGTGTGTGTGTGTGTGTGTGTGAATGCATTTTTGGCATGTCTGCTGTGTTTGTGATCAGTCAAGACAAGTCTAGCTTTATATGGTCATCAGAAGCATGAGATGAAGTCCTGCATCATCCAGGTTTACATTTGTCTCAGCTCTGTTGATAGTCACTGGTGTCTGTTTCGGTTGCACATTGCTGAACGTGAAAAAAAAGAGAAGAAAAACATGGTTTCATGGCCTTAATAAGCATTCAGGGCTCTGTTTGCTTTATGCAGGAAGGGAAGTGAATATGAAATCCAGTCCAGGGTAGAAGAAAAGCCTTTTATAAAGCCTTTCATAAATAATGGAACTGTCTTAGTTCAGAGCGATCAGTTTTATTATGACTATTAACTATTTAAAGACACATAAGGATGTAGAACAAAAAAAACCCTTTCACTTGAGCTCTTATGTTGAACAGTGCAAAGTTGATTTGTTTTACTCAGAACACATTTTTATTTAAAATTTCAGAGAGAACAGATGTCTGTTGAAGGGAACAAGCAAGAAAAACTAGGTGGAGTAAAATCTTATTTTACAGGTCCATAAAGTCTAATCATTTTCTAATAATCTCCTTAAATAGATGTTGCCACTAATAATAAGCAAAAATACAGAATGTGTTCAAATAATCAATTGTTACTGAATGCTATGCTTGTGTAACCAAGAATCTTTTCTTAGGTTTTAATGGAGAAGTTTCTTTTAAGGAAATTCAACACAACTGACTGAACTAATAGTGTGTGAACCATGTTCCCTAAAATGATTACCAAATCACATAGTACTTTCCAGAAAGGTTGGGAGAAATTATTAGACAATAACAGACCTGTAAAATAAACTGTTATCAGTCTGTTAAATAAGACATTAATAAATTATCCCGGGAACAGAAAGTCCATCTCTACACAAACACCCAAACAGAGTCACATAAAGTTTACCATTAGTCAAATTACAAGCATTCATACAGTTAAGCCTCACTGCTACCAGAATAGCACTTGTAAACTGAACAGTGTCTGCGAAGGAGAGTAATCCAAACAAAGAAACAAGCCTTCCTGTCTCCTGTTGCTAAGTGAAACACCATCAGGGCTCAGTTCAGGATGTTTTTTAAAAAAAAATCTTTGATCACTGTCCTCATCCTGACTTTAAGTCTCTAGTGGAGAGCAAGTAAAACTATTCAAAAAGTCAGAAAATACACAGTAACTGTTTATTTTTTGTGCAGTCTCTGTGTCTCTTCCTCAACAGAAATAGGGCGTGCAGTGAAGCCAAACCACCAGCATCAAAGAGGAAGTATGAGTTTATTCAAACAGCAACTGTTTCCACATCACTGACATCAGACAGATCAGTCCAATCTGAGGTCTGATGAATGCATGTACTTCACAATAATAAGGATCCCGCCTACACATAGCGGTCATTTTCTGGAAGGAAGCTGCTGAGAGTGAGGTTATCTCCTCCATCCTCATCACTGTCTCCCCCATGGTGGATCACCAGGACTCCGTTAGGCACTGGGTTGCGTTGTCTTGTGTAGGTGTGATTCCTCTCAGGCAGCAGGGCAGAGATGCATATCATCTCTGTAGACTGTGAAGGCTTCTTGACCTTGTACTTCCTTGCTGACAGCTTGGTGCAGAGGACAATGGTAGAAACCATGAAGACGGTGGCCAACCCAGCCAGGGCGGCGATGGTGATAAGGCAGTGCTTCACCACGCCCCGGCTGGAGCAGGGTTGGACCTCGAGTGGGCTCTTTGAGGCTTCACAAGGCGCTGTTGTAGTTGCTAGAGTTGATTTGTTCGTTGAGATCAGCGACGTTGTGGGCGCATGAGGATCCCTGCGGGGGCTGGTGGAGGCAGCAGTAGCAGTGGAGGTGGCAGAATCGTTTGAGAACAAAAAAGTGGGAGACTCACTGGTAGAGCTTGTGTCAGTAACATCTGAAGTGGCAACGTGGGTTCTTGTTACAGAAACAGGCTGAGACATCGATGAAAGCTCAGTGCTGGTTGTGGTCTCACTCACTGTGAGAGGTATGGAAGTGGAGTCAGACACAGGCGCTGCCTCAGAGGCGGGGTTCGCTGATGTGGATATGTGGGTTCTCATCACAGACATGGGCTGAGACGTCGATGAAAGCTCAGTGCTGGTGGTGGTCTCACTGACTGTGAAAGGCATGGAAGTGGAGTCAAACACAGGTGCTGCCTCAGAGGAGGGGTTCTCTGTCATTGTAGTTGTAGTTATAGCTGAAGAACGGCTGAGGTTCTTGATGAAGACTGGAGTCTGAGTAGAAGCAGGAGAGGTCGCTGAAGATACCTCAAATGTAACTTCAGGCTTAGTGGATGTAGGCTGCGGCAAAGACACAGTCTCTGTTGATAAAGACACTGCAGAGGTCCCTGCAGAGGAAGAATTCATGTCAGTCGGAGTGGTGGGTGATTGCTGATGCAACTGACCCTCTGTAGGTTTTGCTGTTTCTGAGATCGTCGTGCTAAGGGAAGGTTCACCTGCAGCTGTGCTCACTGCTGTGGAGATATCAAGCAGTCGTGGACGTGAGCTGTTTGTAGTTTCTGCTGCAGTGTTCATGGCAACCAAATCAGCTGTGATGTCATTTGAGCTCTCAGTGACAGTGGCCTCTTCCGTTTCTATTGTGGGTGTCAGGGGGGAAACTGTGTTTGCTGTTGCAGAAGCTTCTGCAGGTTTGTGAGTTGGCTGCCGGGTCGCAGGTTGCGTCTCTGTTTCTTTATGAACCACGTGTGCACTGATTGACGACAGCTGCTTTGTTGTCATGTTGGGTTCAGGGGTTGTGTTAATTCTGCTGGTTACTGGTATGGAAGCACTCATGGACTCCGTAGATAACAAAACAAACATTCCCCATAGCAGAGCCAGATACGTATTCATGCTGAGCAGCATCATTGTTGTTCCAAAGACCTGAAATGACAGGAAAGATTCAAATTCATTACAACACTATTAAAGAGTTATAGATGTTGTAGTAAAAAGAAACAAACACAAGGAAAAATCTTGTCAGGCCATGTGTCGTGTGTCAAGTGGCATCTTATGATGAAATGGTCATGTGGCTTTCACCACACCCATTGCTACATTTTCACAGAAAAAAACAGAACTACTGCATTTTTAAGTAAATCTGTCTAGTTTATACAAGCAGAAAGAATGTTCATTTTTCTATATTTTCTGCAACAAAGGGTCCAGAGTTAGTAAGGAAGTACACAACATAGATAAATCAACTTCCTTTGTGACACAAATTCTAATAGTAAATAACATTTCTAGAGGGCAGGAAGTTAACTTTGTCTAACACGTTGCATAAAAGGAAACAGAGGACCCCCAAAACCAGCGACATTTAACCAGAACAAAGGTTTTAAACGTGTCCTCAGAGGCATCTGTCAGTGTCTTACCTTGCTGCTGGTGAAGCGGACGTGGTGCATGTGAGGATAAATATATGATTGTTGAGTTCAGCTCATTTCAGTCTCTCTGGGTGAACATCCTCGGAGCACCGACTATAGCACTGCTTTACAGAAGAAACAGGAAATGTTCACACTTTTTTTTTTTGAAACCTGTACTATAACACTTTCAGATAAGAACAAACACTTCCCTTAGAAACCAACAGCTTTAGTTTGCATCAAAAAGGAAGTAAACTCCGTCTGAAGCTTCTACATCAACTCAGGTGCCATATTTGAAGATCCTATATATATTAATTGGCAGGAGATGTGTCTTACCTCATTGATGGAAAGTCAAGAAGAGCTCAGGTGCTGCTTTGTGCCAGAGCATGTTTGCTCCGTATGTCCTGATGTTCTGAGTGCTACTTTATATGAAGTAGCAGGAAGTACTCAGTTCTGTAATGAGATGTTTCTCGTACGTCCACGTCTGATCACACTTTTGTTTACGATTTATAGCTGTGTGTCCTGTGAGTAAAAAAGCTGTAACTCAGGAACTTCAAGGCACTGATAGCAGACCACAGTGATGAAAGATCAGCTACACGAGGACAAGTGTATCACACCCAGAAATAAAATAAGCTAAAAAACAAGTAATCAATCAGAAAGTCCATGCAATCACTGGGTTTGAAGTATGGCGGTTTGATGTCTTATTTGGTGTGCCTGCGTTAAAAGCAATTCAAAGCTTCGACTGACACATTTGTACCCTGTGTGGAAACAGAAATGATCTTCTTGTGTGGAAACCATTTCCTGTACTGTTGAGTCATACTGATATATGGTTTTAAAAAAGTGTTGAAAAAAAGATGATACAAAGATAAACTTATTTTTCTGTGTGTTTTGAACGTTGCCATGCTGTGAAAACAAACACACACACAGTACTGAATGGGCTCAGACTGAGTATGACAATAAATACATTAATATATTCGGAAATTACTTTGACACAGGAAGGACAGTGTTGCTGCTCTGCTCTATATTTGCTGATCTGATGACATCAATAAGTATTGCTGTAAGTCACAGATGTCCCTCA